CGCGTCTCTCACCCTCTCTGTTTTTCACATAATGATATTATCCTATATCCTCGCATGTGATTGGCCACAATATGGAGGGATTGGAGCATAGCTGAGCCACTGTGTGAGAGCTGAGCAGCAAAAGGAAATTAAGTGAGGAGCCGGCTCTCGCTCAATGGGAGTCGACTCTTCTGATTCACTACAAAGCACTCTCTAAGCACGACACTTAGAGCTGATACTTTTGCGCATTACACATTATCGAACGTTACGTTGTGTGTCATGGATACTGTTGACTCCAAATCTCCCGACCACTATGTCGATCTGAGACAGCAAAACCGAGACAGCGAGACCAAGACAAGACCAAGGTCACGCTTTTCAGTGTGTTATCTTCTCTCCTTACTTGCCTCCCAGTTACCTACTGGAAGTTTGTTGCTTGTCCCATCAGTCTGAAGTTCACAGACTGTCATTTACCTACACCTCCCTCAGCTCGCCACTGTACACCTGGGACTCTTGCCACTTTTAACATTCTTTAAATAAACCATTTAAAGCTCTTAGCTGAATCTCCTCCTTGGGTCTGGTCCCTGCAAAAATATGACAGATTTCCCGTAAACATCTGTAGGGTCGGAAGTCTTTCACAGCTGCAATTATCGCCAACTGGTGGCCTTCAGATAGAATGCAGGTTTAGGGTGTCCATGTTTTGTACTGTCTATGAAAACATTATAAAGTGAACTCTATTAAACCATCCAACAGATATAGCTGTCTTTATTGATATTGTGAATATACTCATTTAACACAGGCGATAACAATGCTAATATCCACAGCAGCTGGCCTCATTCTCTACTGTTTGGTATTTTCTTCCCTCCTTTTAGACCATAAAGAGGGCTGGATATTTACAGTAAAATATGCAATACCACTGTTATTTGCACAGATTATATTTCAGTTTTGAATGTGAGTCATAATTCCAGAATGAAACCGTATCTGTTTGATTTGTAGACTTTTATTTAAAGCATTTTCAGCTCACTTTGTTTTTATCCCGAATTTTAAAATAAAGCGCACCCCAAAAACAACAATCCATCTTTCATCCTTTCCGGTATATCTGCTCAACCTCCTCCTTCTCCTCCCCTTTCTTCTTCTTCCTCATGTCTACCCATTCCTCTCCAACAGTATCTCCCACAGCCCCCACAGACCCCTCCATAAATCCTGGGACAGCAGCGCTTTAATGGATAATTAATTGATGCTGCTGCAGCACTGTAATAAGACAATAAATTACGACACAGGCCGGTGTGCTGTGTCAGTGTGTGTTGCTAATGGCCCTTCAGGGCTGGGGCAGGAGGCTAATAAATTAGACAGGTATTAACTGTTGTGTGCTAAGTAGCCCTCCACCACCGACTTCCATGAAAGGAGAGGAGTAAGGAGGAACATAGCGGGGAATAACGGAAGAGAGATGGAAGTGGGGAGAGAATTGATCACATCATTTTGTAAAGTTTAACTGAATACTTAGGCATTTTTGTGATAAATGCTCCACAACTGCTTGAGAAGATTGATAAGACTTTTGTACTGTCCTGCAAAGTTCCAGCCAGGAGTAGGTTATCTTTGAAGAGCACGGAAACTGGAAACTATGCCCAAAGACAATAAAACTCACATACCAGCACCTCTAAAACTATTCATTTTTAACACGTCTGGTACAAAATGTTTTAAGAAAAGCATTTTAAATCATCTGGTCGTTGCTCACAGCCAAGAAGCAGTCCAACACAGTCTGCTTCTTCTTCTTTTGGCCATTCCCATTGGGGGTCACCACAGCAGATCATCTTCCTGCATCTCACCCTATCTCTAGCATCCTCTTGTGTCACAGCAACCCTCTGCATGGCCTCCTTCGTTACATCCATGAATTTTCTCTGTGGTCTTCCTCTTTTCATCCTGTCTGGAGCCTCCATATTCAACATACTTTGTCCAACGTATCTACTATCCCTCCTCTGCACTTCCAAACCATCTCATCCTTGCCTCTCTAACGTTGTCTCCAAGTAGATTCGTGAAAGAAGCAGCAGATCTAAGTAGTAATAAGTGGTAACCCTAGCCCTACCTCTGCTATAACCCTGCATTTTGGAGAAAGATGAAGAAGAGGGTGGACAAAGTTATGTTTTTTGTGGTATTTCTGGGTGACTGTTGTCTCTAGAGGCAGCAAGAAGTCCTAAGAGGTCATCCCAAATGTTTTAATTTTAAACTTAGCACCCTAACAATAAACAACTAAAACTATTTGGACTGAATATGTCAGTGTACACTTGCAATATCTGCAGATTAGTACTAACCACAAAGGGCACCATTAATCTTAGATTATACTTTCAGCATCTGTGAGCGTGCTGGGA